CCCCCCCCCCCCCCCCCCCCCCCGCGAGTGCACAAATTTTTGTGCACCGGGCCTCTAGTATATATATATAAAGGCTAATATGCAGTGTCCCCTCAGGAGTTTGACCGGGAGACAGGGAGTTCGATAGCTCACTATGATGTGTGCTGACCACCAGGGGGCAGTGCGGAGTGAAGGAAGGCCCCAGCCAGCAGCTGGAAGGCTCCGTTTGGCCCTGATCACTGGCCAGGCCTAGGGACCCTACCCATGCCCGAATTTCGTGCACCTAGCCTCTAGTACAGTGGTTCTCAACCTGTGGGTCGCGACCCCTTTGGGGGTCAAACGACCCTTTCACAGGGGTCGCCTAAGACCATCGGAAAACACATATATAATTACATATTGTTTTTGTGATTAATCACTATGCTTTAATTATGTTCAATTTGTAACAATGAAAATACATCCTGCATATCAGATATTTACATTACGATTCATAACAGTAGCAAAATTACAGTTATGAAGTAGCAACAAAAGTAATTTTATGGTTGGGGGTCACCACAACATGAGGAACTGTATTAAAGGGTCGCAGCATTAGGAAGGATGAGAATCACTGCTCTAGTAGTTAATAAAATACATTTTCAGTGAGATTTTGCTAGTAACCTTTATCAAAATTAAGAATAGTATTGGTAACATCTTAGTTTGGCAAAATATATCAGTAATTAATCATAGTTTCTTATTTCTTATGACTCTCGTGTTGAAATTTCAACAATTTCAATAATAATGACTAGCACTGAGTTCTTGCTATGTGCAGGGCTATGGATTTTACATGAGTGACATTATGAGGGAGCCGTTATTACCCCCCTTTTAAAGATGAGGAATAATTTATTTTTACAAATGATTTCAGTATATGCATATCACATCAACTGATCCAGAGAAACTGGGATACACACAGGCTTGAATGTATATGTTTTCTACTTTGCCTCAGTAATCCAACTCCTATGACTGGGGTCAAGCGGGCGATAGCAAGGGAAACTCTCTCTGTGCCACTGAGAATCTGAAGAGCGAAGTCCTAATGTCTTCATAATGGACTGAAAATTTTCACAATCTTTATAGGAGCAAAAATTCACCATTTCCTCATTACCGTAACTATGCTTACATTACTTGCATACTGAGAAATCAAGAAGCAGAATTAACAATGGTAACATTCTAAAAAAGTAAGGGGAAACCAAATAATAGCATCAATAAAGAGATGAACTATTCCAAAAGCACTCTGTAATATAAAACTTTACAAATGGTAATCTAAGTCATCCAGCCCTTTCAGGATGAAAATTATATTATCTCTACTTAAATAATTAAAAGAGTAGTACAGAGAGGTTAAATAACTCTCATCTAGTAAGAGGCAAAAATGTAACCTCTACCTGCCTTAAAAGTAGAAAGGAATAGGGGTAAATACAAGTAGAGTAGAAAGTTTGTATCTTTGAACAAACAGGAACCTAAATAAAAAACCATTTTCCTCAAAGTTCTAAAAGCACCAATTATCTGAAATAATGAAAATTCAAGCTATAAGGAAAAAATGTAGTAGTTATTTTTTATATTATAGGAGGAAATGACCTATGATCTTTCCTGTGAAAATGTATAAAGGCCACATTTGGAAAAAAATAAGAAATGGCTTCTATTATCATATACTTTGCCTCTACCATGTCTAAGGAGAAGATACATAAAATATATAAAACTTATCTGGGCCTAAATTTCACTCACAATTATTTTCTCAAAGTTTTTGTGTAGACTCTTCATTTCCCACTATTGTAACTTAGAATATAATAAAAGGTTTCATTCAAAGTATCACTTAAAATTGGGGTATACTATCTCTCACTTGGGATATATGGGAGAATAGTGTTGACTTTTATTCTAAACCTGCACTTCTTATGAATCTTTTACAACATTATAGATTGATGCCTATGTAAAATATTTTTACAAGATATTGATCTACTTGAAAATCAGAGGGTTCATATTTCAAGTATTTTCAAACTAAGCTAGAGTTCACCAATCTTTGTACACATTCTAAAAAAAATAAGGGGATACCAAATCAAAGAATCAGTTTTAGAAAGTCAATTTTAGAAAAGCTATGTTGTCCATTCTAATTGCCCTAATTTAGTTTACTAGTTTAATTTTTTAAATATTTTTTATTGATTTTTAGAGAGAGAGGAAGGGAGAGGAAGAGAGAGAAAAACATCAGTGTGAGAGCAGAACACTGATGTGCTACCTGCAGCACGCCTGCTACCAGGGATGGAGCCCACAACCTGGACATTACTCTGACCAGGAAATGAACTGGCAACCTTTGGTGCATAGGACACCACCCAACCAAGTGAGCCACACCAGCCAGGACATTTACTAGTACACATTTATTGTTTATACTGAATTAGTCTTTAAAATTTGTGTATCTTCCAGATTCTATAACATGAGAGGAATTCTTTTTAACCTCTTTGGCCTTGTACTGTGCCCTGAGTCCAATTTTTCCACAGGAAAAAAATAAAATCAAGCACTTTAATTCATTCCATTGCAGATGAGGCAAATGGAACACAGTAAGGAGTAAATGGCTTCTCAGGTATTTAAGCTGTGCTAATAACAAAGTCACACGTAATTTCTGAATTCTAATCCTGATGGTTAGTTCCAAACCATCCATGACAATGGAGGAGCAACATGCACAAATAAATTAAGTTACTTAGAAAATACTATTTATATACATATACCTCATATTTTCTACAAATTGCCTTTCATTTTGTTTAGAATTATACATAAAATAACTTCAATTTTAATCTGTGTATATGCAGATTAAATAGTCAAGTAAAGGAAACCAAGTTTATGCTAACTAGCAAAAGAAAACACTGTAATTTTTTCTCTAAAGAATGTTTAAGTGATACTCAAGTCTACTGTATCCTGATACAGTGGATGTATGTGATGGGTAAAAGCAGCCTTCTGCTTCAGCCAGGGCATAATTCTGAACCGTTTGCTGTATAGGGCTTCTCATAAGCTTTTCTACAAAAAAAGAACTCTTCTGCTAAAAGTATCAGCTTCAGACTTTACGTTCTAGGAACATCAAATTGCTTGCATTTCCCTAATATAGCCCCTATTGTGTAGTGCCTTTGCTTAGTCTGTTGTCTCAGCTTAAAATATTTCCCCCATTTTCTTTTCTATTCTTTACCTAACAGGTAAAACTATTCATCCTAAGGTGCAGTACAGACATTGCCTCTTCCAGGAGTCTTCCCTTTCTACCAATTCCCTAAGGGAGTAGGGTCCAGGTACACCTTCCTGAGGTTCCTCCAATAACGGATTTTTCTCTGTCACTATACTTACTACATTGAATTATAATTATTCCTTTGTACAACTAATTCCATGTAAGTTAACAGCTTGTATCTTACCAGTCAATCCCCAAATCTTAAAAGAGCTCCAACCCACAAATGAATGAATGAATATTTAATAGGTAGAGAGGTTGGCCATTGTAGGCAAAAGAAAAA